ATGTTTAATTTGAATCTAATAAAGTTTAATAAATGTCTGGAACAGGAACAGTGTATAAAAATATAAAAATAAGACAGAATAGCCATTTAATCCATTCTGATCTCATGAATATGTGAACACTATCTAAAAATGACAAAATAATCCATACAGCATTAGCCACTATTTTATATATGCTCACAGACAGCAATGGTCCTGTGATGGACAAAAGCTGCCTTGTTATAATAATGTCCTTTTGCTCACTGACATCAATAATAGCCCTCACTCTATCAAACCAAGGAGATAAAAGCTGGATGTTGTGACTGTGTAACACTTTGTCTTCTCAGATAGTGGTGACCTTTTCTTGTAATTATGAGATTAAGCATGAGGCCTCGCTTTCCTATTTTTGCCAGCAGTGAATGTAGTGCTATAGTGTACACCCTGACACATTACACATCAGTCTGTGGATGTGCTGTTATAATTATCTCTGCAGCTCTGTGACCAGGAGCTTTGGGATCTTTGCTTGAGTGCTGTCTACAGCTTTATAGCCTCCATGTTGTTCTTGTTGATGAATTTAGGATTAATTTAAGAATATCTGCCTTTAAAGTCTTTGATGCACAATAAAGAAGATCTCAGATTTGATCCTCACAGCTGGCAGACAGTGTGTCCTGTCCAAGTGTCCTTGAGTAAAATATTGAATGCTTGATTTTGCTTGATAGACATTAAGGAGCTCTGTGTTAGCATGCAGCACGGGCTAGCAGCAATGTAGCAGCTGTACCGCTTGTCTTAGTATGTGCAATAAGCAAAGTTTACCCCATGTAGGCTGCTTTGTGCTATTACATACTTGGTGCCATTTTACATTATACATCAATCACTTAAGCTGTGGAATAAATTATAAAGCTAGTCAAATAGCTTTTCTACTTATATGAATTATAGTTGGACTATACTGACAAGGAAGATATGGTTAGCTAGCTAGCTGTAATTTAGCTGTGATACAGGACTCTGGTGATGGTTGGTTGGTAATAGTGGCTGATGAAGTAAAAAAAAAAAGAAAATGGACTGCTAAGTTACCTGATCAGCCCTGAGTCACACCAAGGAAAACAGTGGGCTGGAGACCACCGCACAACCGTACACAGTGAACTTGCAACTATTTCAAAAGTTGCTTCAAAGATGGCGACCAAGATGGTAACCAGTCGCAGTCAACCGCGTCTTCAAAGCGACTTCATACGTCAAGATGGCAATAAAACATCAATAATAAACTGCAGCAAACTGGTGAAAATGGTGAATCATCTACATAAACAGATTGCATAAGTTGCCTCCCACAAGGCAATCCAGAGCTTCCTGGTCTTCTGAAAACATTCTGCACTATTTTTAATCTAGTGTGACTGAGCCATTAAGACAGTGTTTTGCTTCATGAAATCTGTCAGTGCATATGATGTTTGTTGTATGGAGCTGATTAGGACTGGACTTCATTTCCAAGCTACTTTTAGCTAATGAGGTGGTTGCTCTAGGTCAGGGGTGTCAAACTCCAGGCCTCGAGAGCCGGTGTCTTGCAGGTTTTATATGTCACCCTGGGTCAACACACCTGAATCACATGATTAGTTCATTACCAGGCTTCTGGAGAACTTCAACACATATTAAGGAAGTAATTTGGCCATTTAAATCAGCTGTGTTGTGTCAAGGACACATCTAAAACCTGCAGGACACCGGCTCTCGAGGCCTGGAGTTCGACACCTGTGCTCTAGGTCTTTCCAGTCTTGTGATTATAGCTTGACATTTGCTGTATAGATATGAGATTGATGTAAATGTAAAAGGAAGGAGTTTTTATCAGAATCTTGAAGATTTTCCTTAGAAGGAACAGCTCAAATGACTGCAGTAAATGAACAGTGGCCTCAAAGTTGACTCTGTGTAAATTTAAATAAAATCAGAAAACTGACTGCTCCACTTCTGGTATTTTTTTGTTTCATCATGCTGCAAATTCTTTGAAATGTGTGACAGGATGGGGCTGCGGGCAGATCCGTTAAGAACCTGTTTGCAACTCCTTCCAGCAGTCTAACCCATGTCACAAAGCTCAGATCACTTCAAACTGGTTCAATCAACATGAGTTCACTCAAATGCCCTCCAAAGTCACAAGATCTCAATTCAATACAGCAAACAGGAGATTTGCATCATGAACGCAGTGTGATGCCATCAGTTCAATATGGGCCTAAATCTCTGAAGAAAGCAAAAGGTGATCCAACCCAGTACACGGAGAGTGTACCTAATAAAGTGTCTGGTGAGTGTATATTGTTGAACATTTTGTTTGCGTAATCTTTTAATTGTAGTGAACTCCTCTCAGGCTTCACTTTGACAGATTGTTTCTAAATATTTGAGATCTCGGGTTTTGTGGAAACTCTTATTGGTGTGCACTTAACTGTGTGATGGTGGTGGAAGTGTTAAATTCCAAATACGTGAAATGCACAAGCATAATAAAACATGTCAAAGCAGCAGTAGTGTCTTTTTTTCCATTTGAAATTTCAGTTTTTATTTATTCAGGTTAAATTAGTAGTAATGATAACATGGCCAGCGTCAGGTTAAATCCCCGTACAGGGACGTTAATAACTGAGCTCCCCTGAACAACAGGTACCTCCACAAACACGCAGCGATTCTACTGTAGCTTCCAGAAGTCCATCAGTGAGTCCACCAGGCACGCCTGCAATCCTGCCATAACAGCAGGAGGTCAGAGTCTGTGCAGGACAGCTTTCCTTAAACTCCCTGCTGAAATTAGGACAACAGCAATGAAACGTTCAGCAGCATCGCCCCTGGAGGAGAACTCTGTACATTTGCCTCCAATAAAGGGGGGTGGGGGGGGTCAGGCCTCTCACTGGTGCTCCATCATGAATCACAGAAAATTAATACATAAAGAATAAACATACTGTAGCTGGATTAGTTACACATCACACATGACCAGTAATTTATATAAATAATGTACCATAACACTGATTGACCATGAATGCAGAGCAACACAAAGATGTGCTTGACTGATTCTTAATCCACTAACGTGTGAATATTAGTGGATTAATTGCAGTCGGCATTAATTATCTTGTGCTGTTAAACCAAGTGAGGGAGGTTAGTTTCCTTAAAGTGCCACAGACACGATGTCTTCAATTTTCATGTTTAATGAGACTGTTTATTGTCCACTGCACTTTGTGGCATATTTCTCTCACTCATGTATCCGCTCAGTTTGAATATTTTCAATGAAGAGTGGAAAACACCCAGAACACGAACTCAAACATCAAAAACAGAACATCCATAAAAGAAGGACTTCGCAGTTTAAATAAGACTAGGTGTATTCTAGGAAATTTAGTGAAAAGACCAAAAGGATGCTTTCTTCCACACGTAACGGCCTCCTAAACATGAAGCGAAAGTGTGACTGTTTGCCCCACGGTAGCTGTTTTAGTTTGAAAACTCCAGAACGAGCCTCACTGACCACAGCCGAAAAAAAGGAAGCCAATGGCAAAGATCCAAAAACTGCATTACTAATGGCCACTTGAGCCACGCTCTAAATGCACCGCCAGTATGGCCAGTTACAGAGAACAAGCTTTGGTTTCTATAGCAGGTGAAATTTTTTTTTATTCACCTGATTGGATTTTAACTTATGGGTGCTGCAGCTGTGTCTTCAAAAACACCACAAACTTTTAGCAGCTAATACTCGGGCTTCAATATGTGAAGACTAAAGCCAATGAATGACATCACCGTGGCCATGTCCATCATTTATGTACAGCCAATGCGCCAGAAAAGCTACCAATCCCACCAACGGCTGCTTCAAAACAGGAAGTGTTGATGCATCATCTATCAGTTTATTCGCTTCGAAAAGAAAAAAAAAAGAAAAAAAAATAGAGCCATTCATCAGCAGTTGGGCTTTCTTAAAAATCTATTTTTTTAAAGTATTCATTGCTTTTTTGTTCATGTTGATTAAATTCTGTGTTAACAAATGGCTTTTCAATGACAATCATCCATCTCCCAGAGTGTACATCCTTTTCAAAATAAAAGACATTCAAGTTACAGAAAACAGAGAAAAGCAGGAAATACTGATTTTTTTCCCCATCTCATTTAAATTATCACTCTTAGTATTTTCAGATTGAGGAACTGCTGCACTTGGCTCCCAGTCAAGCACATCTCTGGTAATGTAAATGCTTCACTCAGACTTTTGCGAGCACGGAGCTACAGGCCTCAACCAGACACGCTCACTTGGTTTAACTGCATTAAATATCAAAATAACATTTAGACAGAAACATTAAACAGAAACAAGTTTAATAAAAACACTTAAATGCTTTCACACTTCCGCATGCCTGGAAGAACAACTAACGTCTTCTCTTCACTGTCCTTCATGGCGATACCAAAGGGAGTTGCATGACGGCAGCAGAATGTATGGCCCTTCGGTCGGAGACGAGACAGGCTCACAGTGGGACAAACTTTATGCGTTTCCTCACATTAAATGCGGCGCAGATGAACAGTTCTTGTAGTGAATATGCTGTAACGGAGCACAGTCTGTAAAGGGTGGGGAAAAACGCGGAGGCGACAGGGGAGGAAGTCTACAGTCCAGCTACCAAATCACACTGAGATTTTCTACTTCTGCATTTGGTCAATGTCCTCCAGGGATTCAAACATCCGGGCCTGGACGAGACACGAAGATGCAGACTGGCGCCATGTTATAAATCCAGGAGAGGCAGTGAACCAAGTGCTCAGCTGAAGATGAAAGCCTACAGGATGGTGCAGAGGAGAGGGGTGGAGTGTTGGTACTGGGAGCAGTCTGACCCTTCTGCTGGACTTGGAGATGGAGCGGGAGACGTGGGGCTCTGTCTCTCAGCCCTCCATCCCAAAGTCCTCTGTGAACTTCTTGACTTTGAGAAGGTCTTCGGTGTTAACTGTGGGGCGGGTGGTGGACAGAGAGCGCAGCATGTCCGACTGCAAAGTAGGGACACGGACACACACGGACACACACACACAGTTCATTATTGTTATTTCATTACTGTTATACTGCATATTTAAATACTGTATATCACTGTGAGGTCCTTTCAATCCAACAGAAGCTTTCTTTATGCAGAAAAACTGTCCAACATATCCTTTATCCCTTGTCTGCACACAGCCTAATCATCTCAGCCTCACCTCTCCAACTTTGTCTCCAAACTGCTCAATGAGCCGTCCTTATGATATTACTGGTTAATAGTAATATTACTCATTAATAATCCCAATGAAAATCTTAGTATCTTAATCTCCACCGCCTCCACCTTAGCCTCATCTTGAAACCAAACATCACAGGAGGTCTTATCTTATAAACCTTCCTTCAGCAGTTTTACATATATAATGAATCTGGCTGATAATCTATGTCATTGTTGTTCATTGGTGGTGGAAAGGAAGATGGTAATATGTCAGTTTAAAAGAAAATCAAAGCTGCTGTTAGTGAAACAACAGATTTTCCTTCACGTTCCTGCATCTTACCATGCAGACTATGGGCTCCAGTAGCTTATCACTAGGCACGTCCATCCAGGTCATCTCTATAGCCCCAGGATCGCCAGGGGAACATGGCGTCAAGAGGTCATCCACCATCACCTGGTTGTTGCTTCGGGATGGACCGCGGACCTGCAGGAGTAAGGGGGAAAAAAGCTCCTGTGCAGCACCGATTAATCGCACCAAACACTGCAGCCTCCACGTGAAGGCTTCATCGAACCCCGCTGAGTCTATGGGCGATCTTTGAGACATTAGTAACTCAATCTCAACTACATACTAAACACAATAACTTAATTAAATTCATGTTAAACTGGTTAGTTTGCAGTATTCTGATAACATTTACAGTAACGGAGTCTGTTAGACTGCTGCAGGCCTGAGTCATGATGCTCTTTAATAGTAATATACTGTCTAGTAGCTGAAAAGCAGCTCTAATTCCTCAACATCTGCTTACATACCATGGACAGATTTGACTAAAACCTGAGAGTCAGCAGAAGCACAGGGCAGCTGATCACAGGTACTGGAGCTCACAGGCTTGGTTTTTTGGGGTGATTTCTTTTACAAACAAGCTTAAAACAGCTAATTTTTAACAGAGGATGAACTGAACTTTAATCAAGACTTATAAGACCTTATAAGTCCAGGTAACAGGGCCCCTTTCAATAGTTCATTTATATCACAAAGATCCAAGATTGAAGATTTCACAGGTTTCTTTCTCTTACCTTTTTGAAATGTGTGGCAGATTGGACCTTCCTAACGGGCTGCATGAGAGCATCCCGGACGATGATGCTGATGTCGGCACCGGAGTAGCCTTCTGTTTTGCGGGCGAGCTGCCGCAGGTCGGCCTCGCTCAGGCTGTGCGGCGTGTTGCCCAGATGGAGGCGAAACATTTGAGCCCGAGCCGGCTCCTCTGGCAGAGGGATGTAGATACGCTTCTCAAATCTGACGCACAACAAAAATAACAAGCCCGTCTTACGGATCCTCCTCAACACACGTACACTTAAACAGCACACAAGAAAAGGTATAACAAAGCAAAGCGTAGCTCTAAAATCAACTCGTTACTATTAAAGTTTAGAGGAAGTGAAGCAGAGTCGGATACTGGGTTCACTGGCTGTAGATTGACCGCTTTTCCTTATTTCTGCCATAAATCCCACTCCACTGGTCGATGCTTAAATTAAACACGACCAAAGTTTTAAATAATCAGTCTATGTAGCTCAGACTTCAGGATTATATATAGAATTAGTTTTAGACATTTTTTATATGCTTGGCTCGATATGATATCATCAAGAATGGATATCCCTAATAAGGTCTCAGGCACGCAAATAGCAGCCAGTCAGATGAATAATAACCAAAGTTGGCTTAAAATGTGGGTAGCCTTATAGACACAGGAGCTAAAATGTTTTATTTCAGGCAGATGATAATTCGATGGGCTGTTCCAAGGCGAGTATATCGAGCTCTGAATCCTACAAAGCTCGTTTAGTGGAGTTCAAGAGCCGCGTCTCTGATTTCTTTAATAATTCTATAATACACTTTGTATTACATATGCTTCTAACTGGGTATACATTTAAGATTATGCTTCCACAAGACACCGAGTGGATTACAAGTTTAAGATGTTATTAATCAGCTGTGGATTTCAGTGCCACTTCTTACAGGAGCTGTCTTCTTTTTGCATTCCCAGCACTATTCACCAAAAACGCAAGCCTGTACAGATCTGACAGAAAAGCTGATAGCTGCTGGGAACTCTTTAACTCTATTTCCCAAGAGGAGGCAGATTTTTATACTGCCTGCCCTGCTCAGTGAGGTGAGAGCTGTCGATCAGAGCGATCTTTCACTCTGTTCAGTAACAATTACAGAAGGAACTACTTCCTGTTTGAAGCCACATCCTTCTCGTTTCAAGTGAAACTTTTCTTTTTTCCACATTTTAATTTAACATTGAATTCAGCTTTTGTGCTTAAATGGAGGCAAAATGTAGCTGCTGATGAACGTGTTGTTGGGTACTGCT